GAAAAAAATATTGCACCCTCCCTAAATTTTTTAACAATTTAATTTATATATATATATATATATATATATATATATATATCTTGATATTGTTTCGAGCTATTCTGCTAGCTCATCATTCAGCTGAAAAACAAACAGAGTAATAAAACATAGTAACAAAATAAAATAAAACAGAATTAAAATTATACATACCAAACCAGTTTTGCAAGTTATTAAACATACTAAAAATTATTTTATGTAAAATTTGACAAACCTGAATATTTTGTTCTAAAAACAAAAAAATATGTATAAATAAAATTTTGAAAAATGAAATCAAGTAATCGAAATATATCGAATTCTGAAAGATAAAAGAAAATAACAATATATATTAGGCTTTAAAGCAGAGCCTTCCAAAGTGATACATCTATAAAACAAAAAAACACGACAATTCATGTAATGTCCTATTAGTAAATGCTCTTATATTTACTTGTTTATTAACACTTTTGGTACGTTATATCTGGGCAAATCATTAACTGCTTATAATAATACTTAAGCCCAAGATTTACTAGTTAATACACCCTTAATCTGTGAACACTATTACACATGCTATTTTTGTTGTTTGTTACATATTAATATTAAGAGAGGGAGAGAGATATCAGCAATTCTGAGTCATCAATTTTATTTGAAATATATTGCAAGCTGGTCTTAGTTTGGGTGGCCCATGAACCATCTCTATCGACAGCACTGTTGTGCTGCTCTAAACCTGTTTTATCAATAGTTTTTCTTAATTCCTCTGTTTTCTTAAGCTTATTCATTTCCAAAATGGAACTGTTAAATCATGTGTCTCTAGGAAACAGTCTTGCACATGCTTCGATATGTTTACTTATATTAGATCTTACAAAATAATCCACATATATGCAAAACACAACTTGCAGTTTTCGCATCTTATGCATGTTGTAGCTTAACCTCTCATTGCACATTCTTATTCTCTGTTGATTGAACCTTCTATTCTCTATGGTCAATCACATCACTAGATGAGTCTATCTGATATATTATTAATATGTAGTCTTTCATTTCTTTTGAAGTATGCGTCCTTTTCAACCTTCAAAACAGCGTCCAATTGCTTGGTGCATTTTTGTTCCATAAATATGCTTCATAATCCATTATAACTTTCAAGGTACATATTTGTATTAATGCCCAAGCCTTTCCTAAAAAAATATGCCAAAGTTGTTGGTCTGTTTTTGTATTTTATTGTAAAATATAGAGCAAATGATTTTGTATCCACATCCTGCTCAAGGCTTTTAACATAGGAGTTCATTTCTCACCAAAATTGATTTTCATCCAAAATTGCTCTAATTTCCAACAAGCAGTTAATTACAGTTACCTGTTTTTGACTGTGTCTAGTCTTTGCATTCACTGCCCTCTTCCGACTTTGGGACACGTGCCATGAACAGAGTAAGTGATTATCGGTTGGTGTCATGGCTGATGACTAAGCATTATAATAAGCTGATGCATTATCAGACATAAATGTTGCTGCGGCCATGTTTCCCATCTTCTCTTTCATAAATTCAAAAAATATTTTAATTACTGCTTTGTCTTGGCGGTTACTGAAGCAAAATGCCACTAGATTACCTGCCGCTGACTGATCAATTACTAAAAGAGTATGCAAGTGATATCCATATGCATTCGTGCTATGGATTCCATCAATGCATATTTGCATTATGCATTATTATATATTTAATATTAGCCTGTTTGTTGGTCATGATAACTAAGAGGAGATCATGAAAGTCAAATTAAAGCTAAAAAAGCCGTCAGCCATTTGCATGGAGCTGGAAATTGTTATTGTACAGTTCTTAAATATTTTATACATCATTAAACATGTAATATAAGTAAAAAATAAGAAATTGTTAGTTTGTGTTCAGATAGTATAAGTTCAATGAATCTTTTGAAGTATAAAACTATAGTGTCAACCCCCAATTACCTTACTTCTTGAGCAACACCCGTCAGCTATGTCATTTTTCTAGTGTGGGAAGGTCGCGTATGACTGTTTTTAAAGCGAATAAACGAAACTAGTGGTATATGGCATCGTAGCTTAAGGCAAATTGCTGAAAATACCTGTAGCAAAAATTAAATTTTTCAAAAAATATTCAATATTTTTTTAAAACTTTAAAAAAATCAAGAATTTTGTGAATTTTGAAAAAAAATGACTTTTTTGAAAAATAAAATATATTTTTTTTTATATTTAGAAATAATTTGAAAACTGAAGTGTGTTAAAGTCTTGTGTAGTCGCAACATTTACAAATATCCTTGGAAAAAATCGAGTGTTTTTAACAAAAAATATTAGTGATATGGATATATAAATTATTACAGAATAAACCTGATGATGGAACGTATCTAGTTCCGAAACGTCGTTATTAAACATCTGCAAAAAACAAATTGTTTTTTATTATTGGATTTATTGTTCGGAAAAGAAACAAATATATATATATATATATATATATATATTTGTGTGTGTGTGTGAGTGTGTTGTTTCTGCCAGTATTAAACTAAGAACATTTTGCTTGAAATACTAACTTTTTGTTTCTCTATTAATACTTTTTATATCGTGAGTCATCGGTTCTGGGACGTTTACCATATCTTCCTCTATTTCCTTGGTGAAACCCCCTGGGTCCCATATAATTATTATGCCAAAAATTTGGATTCCAAAATCGAGGTGGTGCATTTATCTTTAGTGTGGCGATAGTGGATAGAATCCAAGTTTTAAGGGTGAACGATGAGAAGATATTGGTCTGTTCTGGTTTTCCTACTGCGTTTCTGTCTATGTGCCTATACAAAGAGCCGCGAATGGTTAAAGTTATCTGGCATTCTCGACAAAAAAATCTATATCTACGGCGCAAACTTACAAAATAATTGATAGAATATGAAAAATATAGAATATAGTACATTCTATATTTTTTATATTCTATCAATTTCTATATTTTTCTATTCTATCAAAAATATAGAATATAGTTATCAATATTTCTATCAATTATCTTGTATGTTTGCGCCATGAATATAGATTTTTTTGTATATACGTATAAAAAATAATTCCTAAATATAAAATATAAACTGTATTGTTAGTATCTAGAAAAAATCGTTACATTTTCGATTTTTTTTTTTAAATTTGGATGTTTTTTTTTTAAATTGAATAATAAAGATCCTGGCGTTAAAGAACATGAAGCTAACCTGGAATCGCAATCAAAGTGAATCCATGTTAAACTAAATATTAATTCCGCAATACTGTTGATTTTGCAACTAATAAATGAGTCTTGAGAATTTCTTGCATGTCTATACCATGTATCGCATTTAAAACATTTATAATATGTCCTTCGGTCATATTATAAATCGGTCGGAGAGCTATCTGAACTACTACAAATTGGACAGATTTTATCGACAGGTGAAATATTTTTTAAGAAAAATGAATTAAACTTCTTCTGGTTTTGATAGGATCCACTTCAAAGTTAAAATTAGTATTATTAACTTCCCGAAGGAGAAGTTTATGTTTTCATCAAAAAATCCGAATGGCTAATTTTATGTTTTCTCGACGTTTCAAGCCATTCTGAATCGAATGAGACCAAATTTGAAAAAGTATGTGTGTGTGTGTGTGTGTGTGTGTGTGTGTGTGTGTGAACAGATTTTTTGCCGTAAATCGACGTTTTCTCCAAAACGGCTGGAGCGATTTCAAAAATTTAAAAGCCATTTGATGTATCTCGATGAGGACTATCGTCTCTGAGTTTTGTGCGGCGATCGGCCGGGCCGTTTCTTTGTAAATTGCAGAAAAGTAAAAAATTTTTCGCCCACGTTTTAGCCCGCAATTCTGAATCGATTCTGAAAATTCAAAAATCATTCGATAGATATTGGTTGGGAATCGTGCTGATTAGTTTTTGGTAAAGATCGGCCGGGCCGTTTTCTTGTAATAACGTTTTTAAAAAAAAAATTTCTACGATTTTTATGATTTTTTTTTTGACGGTAGATACCATAGTTTTCTAGGTCATACTAAAATATCACGGCCCTACGACAACTCGTTTAGCTTTAAAAATTCGTCAAAGTTTGCAAAAATTGGCATAGTTTTTTTGACATTTGTCAAAATTAGACTTTTGATCGACGTTTTCTCAAAAGCGCCTGAACCAATTTCAGAAATTTAAAAGCCATTTGATATATTTCGGGGAAGACTATCGTTTGTCAGTTTTGTGCGACGATCAGCCAAGCCGTTTCTTTGTAATTTGAAAAAAAGTGTTAAACTTTTCGTCCACATTTAAGCTCATCCTACCGAACCGATTTTAAAAAATCAAAAACTGTTCGAAAGATATTAGTTGGGAATGATACTGATTAGTTTTAGGTGAAAATCTACCGAGCCGTTTTCTTGTAATTAACCGTTGAAAAAAAAATTTAAGCCAATTTTTATGGAATTTTTTTTAGCGATATATACCATGGTCTTATAGAACTTACTGAAATATTACGGCCTTAAGACAAATAATTTGATTTTAAAAATTCATCAAAGTTTGAGAAAATGAGTAGCTCTTTTGGCATTTGTTAAAATTAAAATTAGACTATTTACTTGGTATAATGATAGAGTACTTGGTCTTGAACATAATAAATCATTAAAGTCCTGAAAACTGGTTCAATTATAAAAATTATTGATTTTTGAAAATTTGCTTTTAGAAAATACTCCGAGTTCGTTCGTTTTCAATTATGTGTAATAAATCCACTCGGAATACTTTTAATGACTCATAAATTAATTTATTTTTTATTGATTAAGTCGATTATTTAAATATATCGGGAAGTTCATGTAACTTGCCTCAAGGCTAAATACCAAACCAACTAGTTTAATTTAGTATTTTATAATATGAAAACTCAACGAAAAATTATTGTATACTTGCTCCATTTCATTTGTTCTCCAACAGTTAATTATCGCAAAAGTTTTTAAAAATAATAGACTGAAATAGAATAATAGACGCTGAATTGTTTTATACCAGTGCACTTACCGAACTCTGTGATTCCTGAAGCTGAACCAAAGGTTCAAAAGACTTTCGACTTTTCCGCGGGGTCACATATGCCTCTAGAAACTGTAAACTATTGAAATACCAAAGGCTTGGTTTATAAACCTGAAAGTAATTTTAAAGTTTAGTTGGGTATTTATTCCTTTATTAAATGTAATTATTAACTAAAAAAGAAAAATAATACGTTATCAGTTCCAATACCACCTTTCAATGACTGTTTCACTTTACAATTTTCAATATTGAACTGATTTTTCAAATCCTTAATTTTTTTCTGGCACTCGCCGGCAGAACTATTTACCCTTATCCAGGGCCGGTCCTGGGGTAGTCAGCGCCCGCATGCAAGATTGATTTTGGCGCCCCCTATTATTTGGAAACAGTTTTATTATTTGAGTTATAAATAAAATTCTATTATATTTTCAAATATTATTTAATTAATCTGGTTTTATTACACAAAAAATTGGATATAATGGTTTTAATATCTAATTCTGCACATATATTATTTTCAATACTAATTAACGCCAAACTGTTCAGCCTATCTTGTAAAATATTAGTTCTTAAATAGGTTTTAATCAATTTCAATCTTGAAAAACTGCGTTTACCACTTGCTACACAAACAGGTAAAGTTAAGAGTATTCTTAAGGCGATTGAAAAGTTCGGGAAAGCTAAGTTGTTGGATACTATATAATTAAGAATATCAAATGGTTTTCGAAGATTTAAATCGTTTTTCTGAAAAATATCACGAAAAGCACACAACTCATCAAATAACTCTATTGAATTTATATCTTTACTGTCGCCATCCTTTAGAGTAATTTCTAAATCGTTACAATGTTTTCTTAAAGCTTCTTTATTAATTTCCGGTAATTTATTTAAAAAATCGAAATTTTCAAAATATATTCTTAATTTTTCAAAGCGATCATTTGTGGAACATATTGCAACATCTAAAAGCGTATAAAACACACTAATTTTAAATTTTTCTTGTGGAGATCGTGGAGATTCGTCGTGTTGCTCGTAATCAAATTGTCGTTTCTTCTTTCGTTGTCGCACTTCCGAACTACTTTTATATTCTTGTTCTCCATCCACCTCTTCGCTCAGTTCTTTTGCAGTTTTTAGAACATCCTCAAATTTTAGTTCTGACCGATAATCTTGCATAAATATTTTTAAATTTTCAATAGATTCTAAGGCCTGTGAAATATTTATATTTGGATCTTGAAGCATTTTACTCACAGGGTTTATTCTATTGAGCAAGTCATGCCAAATTATGAGAGAGCAAATAAATTTGTAATCCTTTATTTTTAAACATAATACTTGTGCTTCATGTTGAATTTCTTTATTAAAATTTTCATTATTTACAATATCAAAAAGCGCATCATAAACTTCTCCTAATTGATAACGTAAGGGCCGAATTGCATTAATCCTACTTTCCCATCGTGTATCTGAAGGTTGCTTTAAAGTTAAATTTGTAACGTATCTTAAAAGTATTGCCCAACGATTAGAAGAAGATGAAAAATAATTATATAATTCTTGAATTATATTAAAAAAACTAATTGTATCAGTATTTACTTTAGCTGCATCGTTAATCATTAAATTTAGAGTGTGCGCTGCACAAGGTACGAAAAAAGCTCTAGGATTTTTAGTTAAAAGTAATTTTTGCAGCCCATTATTTTTCCCTTTCATATTTGCTCCATTGTCATAACCCGGACCACGCATGTCTTCAATGGGAATGTTCCATTTTTTCAAATTATCTATTATTGTAGAACATAAACCACGCCCTGTGGAATCGGTTATATCAACAAAGCCCAAAAAATTTTCCCTTATTTTTACAACTTCATTCTCAAAAGAAACAAATCGAACAATAATTATCATCTGTTCTGTTTTACTTGCATCAGGTGTACAATCTAATATTATTGAATAATATTTAGATTTTCGTAGCGAGAGTAAAATTTTATCCCTTATCGCTTTACTTAAAATTTCTAACTGTTCATTTTGGCTTTTCTTACTCAAATAGTGAACTTTATTGTTCGGTTGAAGAGCTCTATGAATATGATTTTCTATAACTGGATCAAATTTTGCAAACAGCTCAATTAATTTTAAGAAATTGCCGTTGTTGCTCTCATATAATTTATCAGATGATCCTCGAAAGGCTATATTTTGGCTAGCAAGAAATTTTATTATTTCTATAATGCGTTCTAAAGCACTCCTCCAATGCCTCTTTTCCATCTCATATAAGCTTTGAGTCTGATAATCAATCGTGGTTTTGTTTTTTAAGCTCTTATCTAAGTCTTTCCATTGTAAAAAATTTCTCATATGAGTTAGGTTAGTCTCATGTCTATGCAAACTTGTACTAAGATTTCTCCAATCGCTATAACCATCTAAAAAACTATTAGTTTCGTTAGATGCAAAGAGTTTACAACAAAAACAAAAAACCCGATCCAATTTTTCAGAATAAATAAGCCATGTTCTAGGCACCAACTCCCCGTTTTCCATTTTTCTATTATAATATGAATAATTAAATTTGCGACCGTGAGTATCCTTGGGATAAATAATATTTTTCTTTTGAATAGGACCCATTTCAACTAATTCAACTCGCAGTTTTCCGTCAATAATGCCCCATTCAGCGGGGTCTTCTAAATTTTTAATTATTACCGTTTCCTCAGTTTCGTCTGCAACTACATTTAAATCTAACCGCTGCGATTCACTTGAATCATGTTGTGGTATAGAACAATCGTTAGAAAAACTTGTTGAAGAACACGGTTCGATAACACTTATTTCTTCTAAATCAACTTCACTACAACCTGTGTCAGACTTTTTAATTTTTTTAATAAAGTTGCTAAGAGTTCCTGCTTGTTTTTGAATATCTGCTTCTTTTACAGCTTTTCGCTTGCGGAATTGAGCACCAGATAATTTCTTTTTTGATTCCATGCTTACTTTTAACGCAAAAAACTTAAATATTAACTTATCACTCAAAATATTTAATAGAATAACGATTCACTAATTCACTAAAAATAACAATTCACTAATTTGCGCAGTTATTAGAACGCTTAATGCCTTATCCTTAGCAATACTCTCGCCAAATGAACGTATACTACTGTTTCATATTTGGAACTTTCTTATATAATTATCAAGATGACCATTATTTAGAATTAGGAACAATGTTATCTTCATACAACGTAAAGCATTGTTATCTTTTGATCGATTCATCCAAGCTCCTGCACGTGTGACATCGATAATCAAGCAATAACATATTAATATAAACAGTGCTTATTGTACAAACTATGGTCTTATTTGTGAGCTTGTATAATGCGCTTGTTTTAATAATATAAAAGTATGTTTGAAATTTTCAAATTAAAATAATTGTGAGTGATTTATAAATTGATGCCAAATTATTATATAATATTACAAAATATTATTTTTTTATACTATGTTAATTTAGGTTATTTATTATAATTTATTTAACTTATTAAGTATTCTACAAAATCTATATTTCAATAAAAATAAACATTAAATCCAAAGCTCGAAATTGCGCCCCCCTAAGGCTTGCGCCCGCATTTCTTGCATGCATTGCATGCAAGGTAGGACCGGCCCTACCCTTATCTTTGAAACCTTTTGAAACACCCGTTCCAACGCATCTCTTTGAAGATGCTTGTTGCGATATACCGGCAAGTTACAGGCATATAAACAAAGCTCTCCCCCTTAAAAGAATCAAATAATAATTCAATTTGTTCTTTAGTCCACTTCTCTATTTTTTCTTATGTATTACCTAAATAAACTAACTAACGCAGAAAAACACTAAATAAACACAGACACGGTATGGCCAAGTTGTCATAGCCAAGCTGTCAAACACACGTGATACACCATGTGACAAAGTACTGCTTTCCGATTGGTTCGAACAATCAAAATTGTCATAAAAGATCAGAAAGTATCACATTGTGTTTACAATGGACAGAAAAAAGTTTTATGCACATGCAATTGTTCATGAATTAAAAGGTAAAAGCAACGATTTTGATTTCCAAGAAGAGTAGCAAATATATCCTGAATTTAAACACTATATTGGGATGCTGCTCAAATTATTTAGCGAAGAATATTATATCACTAACTCTCAATGGAAATGCAATAAAATATTAGGCATGAGATAGCTTTGCTTTATAAGTCCTCACAATGTAATAAATAAAGTTATTAAATATAACAATAAACTTATATTAAAACCATTTTCATCAAACAAAAATAAAATTATATGAATGCCACCAAGATGTGAAGTGATCATCTATTATTTGATAGTGTCAAAAGAACCCAGATGTATTCAATGCAGACCATAAAAAGGAAAAAAGTAAGTAAAGAAAAATAAAAAAATGAAATATTGAAAAACAAATTAAAAAAAAAAATTAAAAAATAAAATAAAAAGAATCTGCCTTTAAGTTCCTTTCAACAATTTATTAAATCAAAGAGAGATAATCTTAAAATTGATATAGAAATTACACAGACCACACCGGCAAGAAACAGGATGCAAAACTAGAAATATTTATGAAATGCATTATACTGAAACCATTTTATATTGTAATAATGAAAAAAACTAAAATCAATTAAAAATAATTTCCCATTCGGCAAGAAGATAACATAAAGCCCTCTTAATGTTAACATTATTCAAGATCTGATATCAGTAATGATGACCAAAAAGATAACATAAAGTTAACATAAAACTCTCTTATGAGCCATTTAGTGTCATCTTTAAGAGATCATCGAAAAGATATCAGAAAGATAACATTTTTCAGAGATCATAATGTTAACATTTTTCAGAGATCGTAATGTTAACATTTTTATGTTACAAATAAGAGGCTATTGTATAATTGATAATAAGGAAAAATTGTTTAAATAATTTTTATTTGATAACACAATAAAAATAATATTACATTTACATATAAGTAATCTTATCAATATTTTTACGGTTCTAGTGATTATTATGATTATTTAGTGTTATTTAAGGCGATCGCCAGCATGTTGGAACCATGACTTGAAAACTTTTTCAATTCTTTCCTTATTAGAGGCACTCCATTTTTGTAAAACTGCATCTGAAAAATAGAATTATGAATAAAGTTACAGTTTTAAGATTGAAGTAATTCGTATTCTATTCAATATAATGAGACAAACTGAGTTATAAAATAACAAAAGTTTAGGAATTCCAAAGTTGCATTATTTGTAGGGTAGGCAAGCTTTACCTGTGATCAATTTTATAAATATTAAGCCGTCGATCTTAATCGTATTTTTGACACCTGGTCAACTCATGTTATAAGCCATAACATCAGAAACAGTTAACACCAACGCGTTCCTTGCATGCTTTTCAAAACTTGCACCGCCAAGCTGCTTAATATTTTCTCGCTTTGAAATAATAACAGAGAAAATCAGAGCAATGAAGATATAGTATTTAAAAACAATAAGTCTAAGACATAATTAAATAATAAGCAGAAATAAATTGATGAGTAATGAATAGAATTTGATCATGCAATTAGGTTTATAGGTTCAAAGTTAAATTTGCAATAAGAAATATATATTGAGTAGCTGCGATGACATTTTGAATTTTCGTCTCAAATACTGCCAACTGACTCCGAGTTTGGATGGCAATCCAAAATCTATTTTTTCCTTGACAGTATTATGTTGGTAATGTCATTTTTTTCCGAGAGCGTCAAATAAATTGACGAAACCAAAGTTTTTAAACTTTTCATTTCGCTTAATAATTGCCCTGTCCATACATGACTATTGCAAAATTTATAATAACGATAATACAAATATAAATAAGAACATTTTAATTACTAAATTAATACTAACGACAACAGTCATGACCATGCGTATCCACCTCACTTGAAACAGAGAAAGACGTCTGGTCATCAGCTGGAAGTTCTGCACGAGGTCGAATAAAGATAGGAGACGGTTGTTCCATACTTGATCGACGGAGGGATCTATTTTGATTCTAATCGGACTATCTATAAATAATAATTTTAAAATGACAAACATTAGAAAAAGTGAATAAGTGTGTAAAAAAAATTAATGAG